GTGGAATGCGATTTGGAGTGGATCGATGTTTTACATTACGGTCAACTATTACGCTCTGCTTATCGAAAAGCAGAAGACTTAGCTGAGCCTATTCTGGTTAGTTATACTCAGAAGACACCTATATTTTCTGACACTTTATTTAGTTTATTCGAACAAGCTCGGCGTCTTGCTTTGCCGCACGGATTTATACTCGCTCAGCCGTCACAGCAATTCTATATGTTAGCATTAGGGAGCGCTCAACAGTTCGCTGTCCATCAAGCTACTTTGCACTCTCAAGAGTTTCACGCCAAGGCAAAACAAATGGTTGAAGGTGACTGGCAGCGTTTACTGGTCAACGGAATCGTTGAAAATTGTGTTGGAAGAAACTTTGCTGGTCATGGTCCAGTGTTAGCTGGTGGCTTATGCTTTGATCACCAGAATACGCATCGATCGGGAAAATGGTCTCGTTTTGACGATGTTTCATTTGTGTTGCCAAGCATTCAGTTCACCCATGAAGACAATCAAACTTATATTACATTCAATACTGTCATCACGAACTGCACCAACTTAGAACAAGAAATGCAGTTGATCGACTCAGAAATAATTACACTACTAGAAATCTGCCATAAATTATTGAAGGGAGCAAAACAATATGCAGATGACATTTCCAAACCACCGTGCGATCTAAAATCAGTGCTGCTGTCGGATCCTTGGAAAGAAACTGTTCGTGATACGATTACGAATATTAGGGTAGGTGATCTGGAGAAAGTAATATTAGTGCGTGAAACCGAGTTCGCAACTGATTTGCCAAAGATAACGAATCATGTTACTCAGTCCTTTACGCGTCTCTGTACATTGTACCCATCTTCTTATGTATTTGGTGTTTTACGACATGGCAGTTGTTTTTCTGGTGTTACATCGCCACCAGTAGTGCGATTAGTTGAAAATCAACTTGAAGTCGCTGCTCTGACTAGTACAGACATGGGTAAAAACAACGAAAATGAGCCATTCAGTTCCAGCCAACAACAACGCGAGCACGATTTGGTACTTGACTTTGTCAAACATAAATTACAACCGATCATAGAGGGAAACTCAGTGATGGTATCGGTCAAATCAACAACTTTGAAACTGGCGGCTAATGGACGGCATGTATACGCCCTGGTGCGAGGCACGACTCGAAGAGAGACAACATTGTTGGATTTAGTCCAAGCTCTGCATCCCATGCCAGCAGTCAGTGGCTTACCGCAATCGGATGCACTGAAACTTCTTCGAGAGAAGGAAAGTCTGGACCGCGGCTGATCATTGATTTTTAACAAAAATAAATTTATGGTTTATTCAAGCTTTCGATAAGAGACACTTATCATCATCAGGAAATCAGATATAGAGTCATACGACACTAACAAATCAACACGTAGCTCAACTGCTTCGCATCCTTGAGTGACAACTGTAAATATATCCGGGACAACATCTAACAGGTTCTTGTACGTTAAGCAGATGAAAAAACTATCATCAGATACACGTAACTGCGATGTTTTACTGATGATTCGTTTAATAAACGATAGCAGGTTTACTTCATTTAGAAATTATTGAGTATAACACTGCTGCAAAAATCATAACAGATTTTTAACAAAAATCAATTTATGATTTATTCAAGCTTACGATAAGAGACACTTATCATCATCAGGGAAAACAGATAAGTGAAATACAATCTCTCTATATATAGTAAGAGTGCTAATTAATAGAGTATAGATAGAGAAGGAACAAGAAAAAGCCAATAATGTGATCACTAATTCATAATACATCAAAAAAAGAAGAGAAAGACATAGATAGACAAGAGCTAATAATCTGACTCATAATTGATAAGTTTGTAATAGTTTTATGCAAAGATGTTTAATTTAAATTTGACGTCATTTAAGGCTTTTCCTTTCATTTGGTGTGTAATTAGACTTTCTTTGATAATTCTTCTTCGCCAGTTTGTTCCAAGAGCTAGAGTCTCACATTGTGTAAAATCAAATGTATGCTTTTCTTTATTAGTATGCTTAGCTACATTCGAGGACTCGATTTGTTTTCTGATGTCCGATTGATGTTCCCTCATTCTAGTTTCCTCTTCTCTGCCGGTTTCTCCAATGTAACATTTTTCACAATTCAAGCACGGTATCTAATATACTAATTTCTTTTTCTTTTTTGATTCATCTAGTCCTTTTTGGATGGGAAGAAATACACTTTGATTGTAATTTTTGTAATAAATTCGAATGTACTCAAGAATATTCTATCATTAAACATTTTTGTCTCAAACAAGAACATGACAATAGACAAAAAGACAGCATCAAACTAGAAAATGAAAGTATTAAATTACTAGGTCACTTAAAATCAAAACTTACTGCTTCTGATTTTGAGTTATTACAAAAATATTTATATGAGCGGTACTATCGTATTCATTCTACTTGCGCCTCTTATGCTACTATGTATGGTCAACCAAAAATTCATAAATTAAATTATCCGCTTCGCCCTATCATATCATCTATAGGTGCATATAACCGTGATTAATCTAAGTTTCTTTACCAACTAATTAAAAATAATAGATCCTCTCAATCATTTTCTTGTATTCGTGACTCATTTGAATTTGTGAAAAAGATTGTAGGAATTCAAATAGCTCTGATCAAATGATGGTTAGTTTTGATGTCGATAATTTATACACAAATGTTCCTGTTCATGAAGCTATAGAAATTACTCTAGACATGTTATTTAAAACGCCTTCTCCACCTTCTATACCTTTTACTCAATCATAATTAAAACAATTATTAGAATTCGCTGTATGCAACATTCCATTCAGATTTCTCGATAAAGTATATATACAAACTGATGGAGTAGCAGTGGGATCACCTTTAGGCTCAATATTAGCTGACTTATTCATGTCAAATCTTGAGCATAAAATTAATAGATTCTCAACAAATAAACCATTAATTTGGATTAGATATGTAGACGATATATTCTGTATTTTTAAAAAACAACAAAATATTAATTTTTAACAAGAATTAATAAGTGGCATCCTAATATAAACTTTACAATTGAACATGAATGTAACGAAAAGTTGGCCTTCATAGACGTACTAATAAGCCGAGATAATATAAATAATAAATATAATACCACGTTATACAGAAAACCTAATAATACCAATCTGTACTTACTATATGAAAGTAATAAATGCAGAGAATATAAATTAGGTTTAATTCGAACGTTAGTCATTCGCATACTTCTAATTTGTTCAACAGATGAATTAAAGAATAATGAACTTAAATTAATGAAAGAAACCTTAACAATGAATGGTTATCCACAATACTTAATTAAAAGAGGCATGCGTGAAGGAGAAATAATCATTAAAAGAATGATATCTAAACAACAACAAACACAACAATCATCAAAAAAGAAAAAAGCCCACATTCTTCTCCTATTATGGTCGAGAATCAACCATATTAGCTCATAGAATTAAACGAATATGTGAAAAACTTCTACCACTTATAGAAATTAATGTATGCTTCAGAAAAACTTTTGAAATCAAAAGTGTATTTCTTCCCATCCAAAAACGACCAGATGAATCAAAAAAGAAAAAGAAATTAGTATATAAGATACCGTGCTTGAATTGTGAAAAATGTTACATTGGAGAAACCGGCAGAGAAGAGGAAACTAGAATGAGGGAACATCAATCGGACATCAGAAAACAAACCGAGTCCTCGAATGTAGCTAAGCATACTAATAAAGAAAAGCATACATTTGATACATTCTCTTCTCAGACGCGAGCGTTGAATACGGATATATAAACGCATATTTGTGTATGTAAGGATCGATGTAAGTCTCTCTCAAAGGAAGTTCGACTGATCTAAGGTGGCCTGTCCGGCATATGTTTGAAAATGTGATGATAATGCGCTCTTCGACTGATTTTCGCTGAACACAAGACTTCGAGTCGCGGTTTGGGCGATCGATATTCAACCTCGCCCTCAAATTGTAGTGTTGATTTGATTATAGATTGAAAGAAGAACAGATAGAGTGCATTCCCTGCTCTTCACTTATCCACGACGGAAACTGCTGCGCTGAGATTTAGAGATGTCAACGTTTGGCACTATATTTCAGGTGACAACCTTCGGTGAAAGTCATTGCGCAGGTGTTGAATGCATTGTACAAGGCGTTCCGTCGCGAATGAAATTGAACGAAACGATATACAAGGACAGTTAGATCGTCGTAAACCAGGCCAATCAAAATTGATGACGTCACGGAACGAAAAAGACTTGGTGAAAATATTATCTGGCACAGAGGCAAATTTGACATTAGGAACGCCAATTTGCCTCTTTGTACCAAACCAGCATCATAAACCAGAGGATTACGCTTCCATGCTAGATGTACCTCGCCCATCCCATGCTGACTACACCTACCAGAAGAAATATGGCATTCGTGCGGCAAGTGGTGGAGGACGATCCAGTGCAAGAGAGACAATCGGACGCGTAAGCTTCATACGGATTCGTAGAGCACTAGCTAATTCTTGAGTAGATCTCCTTATTACAGGTTGCCTCTGGCGCTATTGCCGAGAAATGGTTATCGGAGACCTATGGGATAGAAATTGTTGCCTATGTCAGTGGAATCGGACGTGAAATAGAAGCAGCATTAAATGATCAAGATTCAGTCGGTGGCATCATAACATGCATTTGTCGGAACATTCCCCTTGGTATTGGCGAGCCCGTCTTCGATAAACTGGAAACCATGTTGGCACATGCCATGCTCTCAATACCGGCCACCCAAGGTAATTCAACTTGAAGGATCTCCTTCACGGTATGCTCTAGTTAAACATCTTCGATCGTACGTTAAACGATCAGCTCTCGACTTTATTGTTGTATTTTAGGCTTCGAAATTGGAAGCGGTTTCGAAGGAGCAAAGATGAAGGATCTGAACATAATGATATGTTCATCAGTGATACAACTTCCCGTAATAAGAAACCGACAACTAAAACGAATAACAGTGGTGGTATTCAAGGTGGTATTAGTGATGGTGAGCCAATAGTCTTCCGAGTCGCTTTCAAACCATCGGCTACGGTCGGTAAAACACAAGAGACTTGCACATTTGACGGCGAACAATGCTTCCTGAATGCAAGAGGACGGCATGATCCGTGCGTTGTCCCAAGAGCAGTGCCCATTGTTGAAGCACTGGCAGCGTTAGTTTTAGCAGATCAGATCCTTATTCAACAATCGAGAACCAACAACTGCAGCACCGTTCATGAGTTAGCCGTCACTTAATGTTGTTTTAGGAAACAAACCGATCAAGAAATCTAGAACTCGGAAAGTTCTTCCAGTAGCACACACTTTTAATATATCTACTTTTGTATTGTGAAAGTAG